TAATCGCTGAGGTGTATCAATTCCTCTCTTTTCTGCCTTTATATCCGTCTTCTTAAGGCAGTTTAAGACTATAGGAGATTGGGCAGATGTGGAGACTCTAGGCCCAGGAATATTTCTAAACCTAATAGTACTTGTAAGTTTCCTCAAGTAGAAACCATTTCAGGAATTCCTCTACTCCATACTGAGTCAGTCATGGATACCCAGTCTTAGATATAAAAGAATAGTCCGTTTGCTTATTTGCCATAATTTTTACCATTGTTTATGGTTTTAATTATTTGATTTTTAAGAATTTGTTAGTTTAACAAATTGGACAAAGAAAAAGAAGGAAAAAAACGTTGTCTCAATAGTCAGGATCAGGGAAAGTACAGTCTTTTCAACGAATATGTTTTGGAATATTTTTATTTTTCTAGAGGGAGAAGCATTTTTTTGGCTCTGTTTTTACCCATTTAACAACTTTGTCTCCTTTCTATCTTGTACATGCTTTTTCTTTTCATTTCATGGTAATTTAAGAACAAAGGGAGTATCTTTGTATTCTGGTCTCCAGCACAGTGCTTGGCACCTGGCTTTTCAGCGAATATTTAAATGAAGTGAGAAGGGTGCATTTCTACCCTCATGAATTCAGAATATAGTACTCAGTTTTTTGTGCATGGGTGTAAGTAACTACAGCACAGAGTAGATTGAATGTTACCAAATTAAAAGAATTATGACTGAAATCTTGTGTGATCCCACATGAAGTAAGCCTCTATACTACTCCTACTTGCTCACATAAAAACACTACTGGCAAAGTCCAGTTTGCAATTTTTGGCAGGGAACTAGCTTGTTTTAATCTTGGAAGCATTAAATGAAACTTGTTTTAATCTTGGAAGCATTAAATGAAACTTCTGTACCTGTAAATTGGTGTTACCTTCCAGAGCTAGAGTTTGACATGTGAGAAACTTTGAATCTAGTTTATGAATAGAGCCTCTTGTGTTTTCTCCCAAGTTTTAAAATTTTAAATTTTTTGGAAACAATTTCTATCTTGCAGACAAAATGCAAGTATAGTACAAAGACTCTTTATCCTGAACTATTTCCAACATTATGTCCCCAACACCATTTACTGTGTGTTTTCTACAAACAAGGACAGTCCTGTGCAGTACAGCCATCAAACTCGGGAAACTAATACTGATGCAGTAATACTATCTAATCTTTCATGTTACATTTTGTTGTCATGTGTCTTATTAATCTCCTTCGTTTTGAAATAGTTCTTCAGTCTTTCTCTGATTTTCATGACCTTGGCAATTAATATTCAAATACAGACCAGTTATTTTGTAGAATTTAACTCAATGTTGGTTTGTTTGATCTTTCCTTAGGATTATAGTTAGCATAATACATTACTTGGCAGGACTGTCACTTCCTAGAGTTTTCATGTGAATTAGACTGTTGTAACTGTGTTTGCATGTCACCCTAAATATATATCTGGGTGCTGCATTTTGAAACTTAGGAAAAACACTTTAAAAAGTCTGGTGTTCTCATTAAAATTTAACTGCAAAGCTGGGGGGAAAAGGGGTGGGGAGGGATAAATTGGGTGTTTGGTATTTGCAAATGCTAACTATATATAAAATAGATAAATGTTTCTGCTGTATAGCACAGGGAACTATATTCAATATTTTGTAATAATCTATAATGAAAAAGAATATGAAAAGTAATATATGTACATGTATGTATGACTGAAACATGTTGTACACCAGGAATTGACACAACATTGTAAACTGACTATATTTCAATTAAAAAAAATTTAACTGCAAAGAACTAGTACTTGATTACTGTGCTTTGTCAAAATTTTTTAGTAGGACAGAATTTTAAAGAGTTGTCGTGTTTGTGTGCTTGTTCCTTATCACTAAATTATTTTACTTTCCTGAATCACATACTTAGATGTTTTGGATCATTTAATGATTTAGTGATTGGCACATGGGAGCCATTTTTCCTTATCAAGGATGCTGAGTAACAAGATTTTTTTGGTAACTATCACATTAAATAGAATGGTAAAAGTGCATATTTTTCTTAATTGAATGGTACTTATAAGAAATTACAAATTTTGTTTCTTATTACATTAGCTATTTTGCATTTATACATTTGCTTCATGTTGGCTTCATCAAAAGATACCATCAAGTGAAAAGGCAAGCCACAGGGTGGGAGAAGATATTGCAACTTGCAAAACTGACATAGAGCACATATGTAGAATATTCGAATATACACCTACAAATAAACATCGTGGACACGCTAATAGAAGGCTGGACAATAGTTGAACTTTACAAAAAAAGACTTTTCAAATGGCTAACACATAAATGAAAAGAGACTCAGACTATGATGAGATACCACTACACAGCTATCAAAAATGGCTAAAAATTTAAAAGATGGGCAATAACTAAGTGTTAGCCTAACTGTGGAACAACTGACTTCTCATATACTGCTAGTGTAAATTGGGGAAAGAACTTTGGAAAATCAATATTCATTTAAATCCAACTTAACGCATACCTAAGACTAGAAATACCCACCAACTGAAGTGAACGTAAGCCTGGATATGATAACTCTAGTTACAAAGAGTCGATCTTAAGGGTGTTGTGGAGTAGGTTTCTTTCTGTTTTCCAAGTTAACATCTCTTTGTTTTACATAAAAGTTAATGGCCTTTTAAAAATTATTTTTCCTAAGGCACATTTTAGTTAAGTCTTTATGACTTCTAGCTTTAACTCTTGTGGAGTGTCCTTAATCCACTGAACATTTTAGTCATTGGACTGTTGCTCATAGCCCACACGCTTCAGATACTGCCCCAAAAGGAGTATATGATGCTAGTTCTTTGTGATCTTTTTTCCTTGTTTTAAAGTTATTTGTATATAACTCATGGTGTTGGCCTGGAATACTTGGGAAGGAAGGACTTAAAAGACCAAGAAGTAGTTCTAATGGGTGAAGTTTAGAGGGAATGAGGCGAAAATCTACAATGTGCAGGGCGTGTGAATATAAGCAAGAATTCTTGTAGATACTAGCAGTCAGAAGAAACAAATATTTTGTATTGTTATACTGTGACTTCATAGTTATTTTAAACTGTCTATTTGAATTTAATTGAGCCATTCTTACTAAATGTTAAACATCAAGTTTTGGGTTTTATTACACATACTGAATTCTAAATTAACGTCTTGTACAAATGATTTTGTCACTGCATGTTTCTCTGCCTCTTTTCCTTTTTCTCTGGGAATGGGCAGAGAAGCTGTGTAACTATGCTTATTAGGCTTATTGAGGCAAGGAGAGGGTTAAGAGTTTTATTAACCAGTATGCAAAAAAATAAATTTTTAAGTTGAAAAAACTTAATCATAATACTGAAGATTCAAATTAATTGAGTTTACTCTCAAAGATTTGAAAAGGTAACTATCTAAATGCCTAACTTTTTCCCCAGCATTAATGTTGTTTGGCTTAGTGAAGTTTAATTTTCTAAACAAATGTCTTTTTTTTCCCATTGTCCTCAAGCATGGGGGGTAAGATACCACCTGCTACTCATAAAACTAAATCAGAAGAAAATACCAAGGTAAGTTACGAATTTCATTTGTATGTTTAGTGATAAAGTACCAAAAGGTTTCTTAGGGATATTTTTTACCTGCTGCCCTCAAATTACCACTTCTCATTTCCCCAAGATCACTTGGAAATAAGAACTTCGTTAAAATCTCTTTTGGACATCAAATCTCTGGAATCTGATTTAAAACTGAAAACGGAGGGGTAGGGGGAAGGGTATAGCTCAGTGGTAGAGTCCATGCGTCCAAGCAAGCACAAGGTCCTAGGTTCAAGCCCCAGTACCTCCGTTAAATAGACGAATAAACTTAATTACCTCCCCCTGGAAAAGATTAATCAAAAATAAATAAATAAATAAACTGAGAATATGGCATTGGATGTTCACTATGTTATAGAATAAATGGGAATAAATGCTGTATGTATGTAATATGCCTGACCTGTAAGTGGTAAGCTCTGGGATTGTGTGCATTGTAGTGTTCATCATTACTTTCTTTTTAGCATGTAGCATAGTGTTGTTGTAGCTACTTTATTAATATTTGGAATATAAAGAAGAAAACAGCCCAAATTAGTAATTATCAATTTTTTCTGCCCTACCTAACCTGGAGGATATTTCTGAGTGTGATTCATGGTGTTGCTTTAGCATATTTGCCGAAAGGATGTGTATAATCAGGAGGAGATTGCCAGTAGCTCAAGTTTAGAGGTGGGGATGAGGGAGGATAATCTCTTAAAAATGTTCCCTTCAGTGTTCTTATTTTCCCACCTTCTGTCTTCATGACTTAAAGTTTTTTTTTTTTTTCAGAGTTTTCTGATTAGCTGTCTTAAATGTTTAAGAAAATTTGCTGTTTTATTATTCAGCATATCTTTGAACAGTGAAATGAGAGAAGTTAAGTAAAAGCTCCAAAAAGCAATTATTATTTTTTTAGATGAGTCATTTGTCAGAGTTTGGTAGATTCTGAGCCCTAGATAGGATATTTTGCCATGTGATAAACATATGTGAAGACAAGATTATATGTAACCTTAAATCTTTGCTACAATTTTTGTAATAAAAATACTATGATTTAGAATTATGACTAGTCTTATTCTCAGTACATGCTAAAGCATTTAGTACCTTGCACATGGTAGGGATTCAACAAATATTTTGTAATAAGATGGGGCTCCAATTCCAATTTTTAAGAAACTGAGTAGCAGCCTAAATAACTGGTTATGGAACTTATGTTTAGGTGGGCTGATCATGGTATATTCTCTGAGATGCACAGCATTGTTAAACAAAAAAAGGCAAAGTGTAGATTGTGTTATACTCAGAATTCAGAAAACCGCGTCAGTTACTTAAAAGGATGGGAAAGAAATTTTCATTCATTCTGTATACTTTTAAGTTCTTTGAATTTTCATCCTTTGTGTGTTACAGTTCCATAATCCCTTATTTGCAATTCCAAACTCAAAAAGCCTTGAAAATGTAAAGATTGTTAGTAAACTTTTTTGGCACTAAAACATGGTTCGAACAGGCTGTAGTCTTTATCCTACATTATTAATGCTCAAGCTTTATTTTATAGAAGTAGTAGTGTGTTTGATTATGGAGAGTTGTGGACTTCAGTGCCCGTTACATAACATATGGTGTTTCCACTTTATTAGCTTCCTAAAATAAAAAACTCTTTCAATTCTGAAACTCATTGTCTAAAGGGTTTGGATGAGGGACTGAACCTGTACTTCATTTAAAAAGAGAAATAAAAACAGAAAACTAAAATTAGCCTACCAAAACAAAAGACAAAAGAGCATTAACAAGTGAGATGCCATGTTTGTGAATAGTTTATACATAAATCTGTATAAATTAATAACATATATTGGGTGTGTTATTAAATACTGATAGCATTGTTTGCCTTCCCTTTGTTAGGAAGAAAAAACAGATAGTAAGAAGGCGGAGGAAAACATAAAGGCAGATGAACCATCAAGTGAGGAAAGTGATCTAGGTGAGGAGATGGTAGTTTGTATTTGGTAACCTCATGATATGGTCCTGTGTTGATTTTTACAGAGTTAACTAAATCAGTGCTATTTAATAGAAGTGTAACTTGAGCTACATATGGAACTTAAAATCTCTAGTAGCCACGTTTAAAAATTAGAGATAGTTTAAAGTCAAAAAATATATTTAAACCTATATATGTAAAGTGTTAATAACATTTCAGCATTGTAATCAATATAGGAAATTTTTTTAAGTTTTATGTAGAATTATAGTTTGACTGCACATACACATTATATTGCATGTAAATACATATAAACAGTATACTGCACTTTTTCTAGTTTTCATATATGTACTAATTATTGTTTCTAAGAACAGATTAGATCTTTAGCTTTTTAAATATAGAAAAATTATTAATGAGCTATTTTTCTTCTTTATTTATACTGGGTCTTAAAATCCAGAGTGTATTTTCTGTTTATAGCTTAATGCAAATGTTACATTTTTGTTGGAAATACTTGATCAGTATTCAGACTATATGAAGTTTGTAGTTGAAAAAGTTGGGTCACATACACAAGTTTTTTTAGATATGTAAAAGTTTTCCAGTAACCTAATTGAATAGCAAAAAATTATTTTTCCTTTAGTATTTGCATCTGTGTGTATAAAGCTGGTTCAGTTTAGAAGAATTGGTGTCAGTGCCACAGATTTGGGGTTTTATTTGTTTGGTTTTTTTTATGCCGCAAACTGACAAATTTCTTCATAAATTTGGAAGTCCTTTGAGAGAATAAATATGTATCCCAATTATTGGGCAGTCTTAATTCACAGAACTAAACTAAAAACTAAAGAGAAATAATTTGAATAATTTTTCAAGTTTTGAATCAGTTGATCTTTGATATGCTAGGATTTGTTGTTTGAAGACTTAATAAGATCTTTTAATTTTTGAAAAATGTGTTTTAGTCTTAGATGATTCTTTAACAATTACCATAACTATAATAATTTTTTGAACTCCATCTAGAAGCATTTTATGCATTAATGAAGCTGTTTTATAATTAGACAGTTTATAACCTCAGTTCCTGTTAAAAACTGATTAAAATTTTTGTGTTGGATGTTAATTCTGATTTCAGGTAGCTAATTTTTTTCATTCTTTTCTTACTGTTAAGAGGAAACTGCTTTTATCATATTCACTCTGTTTGCTAAAAATGTCTAATATTGTCTTGTTTTTAAAAATTTTTAATATGTTATTTTGTTTTGCTCTCTTAGCAAATTATAGTTACCATCATGAAATTTGCAACATAACTCTGGTCTGTTTCTTTACCATTTTGGTCAAAGTGCTATCTTTGAGGCTCAATTCTGCGTTTATAGTATGCCTTTTGTTGAAAATTTATCTATATTATGTTTTCAAAAAGAGGAAATAGTAAAATAATTCTTCCTGATTAGCAGCAGAGTATCACTATACTTGTGCTATTTGCATAAAATGTTTTTTTCAAAACATTATAGTATATTGATGTGTAGAACAAAATATTTGAATCATTTTGTTGACAATAACTAAATCAGTGGTGTATCTATGTGTAATACAGTAGAAATTATGTTCTTGCCAGTATTCCTGCTACAACATGATAATAAATATCTTAAATGATGTGACTGTTAAAATGAAATGTAGTCTTGGAGGAAGTGGATATAACTCAGTGGTAGAGTGTATGCTTAGCATTCACAAGGTCCTGGGTTCAATCCCCAGTACCTCCATTTAAAAAAAAATTTTTTTTTTAAATTGTGTCTCTGTGATCATGTCAAGTTCAGTGCCTAAATCTGCTCAGTAAATACTTGTTGAATAAATGGGTCAAGCTGCCACAGAGAATTAATTAAAAAAAATGAAATGTAGTCTTACCAAAACAATGAAGTTGTGTTTAACAGGAAAATATTTTATGGTGTATTAGTTTAAATAAAATTAACAAGGTAAAATACTTAAATTAACCTAGAGTAAAATATTAAGTTCATCAGTTGCACTAGTCAAGGTTAGTCAATTTTTAATAGTCTCACGTGACTGTGGCTGCATATTGGACAGCTCAGGTCTTATTGTCATTTTTCTTAACTTTGACAGAAATTGACAATGAAGGTGTGATTGAACCAGACACTGATGCCCCTCAAGAAATGGGTGATGAAAATGTAGAGGTAAGTTCAAAGGCTTATTTTTTTGTGCTTATTGTAAGGAATATGAAAGCCTACCTATTGCAGTTATTTTATGATATAATTCTTCCAGGAAAAGCACATATTAAATCTTTCTCTGACTTAAGGCATTTAGGAAAGCATTCTATTTCACTACTTAAAATATTTGTGAAAATTCCCGTTATTTTTAATCACACTCTCAACAGTTTCTGAAATACCTGTTATTTTCTGTTTGCCTGCTCTTTAAATTTGCGACTGGTTGGACTGTTCTTGAGACTATGGAGTTCATCTACCATATATTTATTTCTACAAGTAGAGTTGCCTGTTAGTGGAATATCAAATGCCAAATTGTTTTCTAAAATGGTTTTGTCAGGCACAAAATTGCTCTCAAGGTGGTTAGAATTGGTTTTTGGTAGGGGGAATTGGGAAAACGTAGCTGTTTACAATTGGTGGTGGTGCTCCAGGGGTTGTAGCACATTAACGTGTACGCAGTGCGTCTGTGGTGTTAAAATGGAAGGAGTGAGAGGCAAGGGGAAAAGTCTAAAGAGATTCTTTGGGGGTTGATAATAAAATAGAGCTTGAGAAACACTGTAACATACTAATTACAGCTTAAAAGATTGATCTAGATTCTTAGCAACACTTGATATTGTCATGTATCATCTTTGCCAGACTTAACTGTGTGAAATGTTATGTTCTCGTCGCTTTTAATATGCATTTCCTGATTTGTAATAAAGTTGACATATTGTAATGTTTATTCGTTATTCACAGATATTTGTGAAGTTCTGGTCTGACTTTTCCTATTTTTTTCTCCTGGGTTGTTTGTCTCTTTCATGCAGACGTGCAGTTCATTTTATATCCCGTGTACTAACAGTTTGTCATCTGTCTTCCCCACGTATTTTCTGCTAGTTTGTGATTTGTCTTTACTTCCTTTGCATTGCCTTTATAAACAAAAATTTTTAATGCAGTTAAATTGATAATTCTTTTATATGCTTTATTACCTCAAGGTTATAATTGCTGTAAATAGATTGTTTTTTTCTTCTAAGAATTTTATGTTCACCTTTCATCTTTACCCATCAGCACCAGTATTGAAAAATCCCTTTCCTCACCAGTGCCAAACAGTGGGTGGGTCTGTTGTGGTGTCCTCTTAACATTCTGTGCACTAATGACACATTTGTACAAAGCTTTATACTGAGGCTTGTTACCTGGTAGGGCAAGGACCCCCCCCCCAACCAATCCTTCAGAAGTGTTTTTGGTTGTTATTGGCCCTTGGTTCATCCGTGCGCATTTTAGATTCAGATTGTCCAGTCCCTCTCGCACCCCATTAGAATTACATTAAATCTAAATCAACCAAAGGGAAGCTGCATCTCCTCACCGTCTTTGAAAACTTAACAACATGTTCTCCCTAAAGATGTACATCTTTGTTAAGAACAGATATAAATACTTTTTGTGACTATTTGTAAAATAAAATTTTTTAAACTGTGTTCTGTGTCGGTGGTGCTGTGTCACCTCAGCGTGTCTAGGTTCATAGCACTTTTTATTTATCCTACTTAGGATTTATTGGGCATCTTAAATCTTATGGTGGTTAACTTTCTTAAAGCTCTGGAACATTTTCAACTAGTATCTCTTTCAAAAATGGCCTGTACTGTCATTCTGGAGCCCTAGTTAGGTATATTTTAGACTTTTTCTCTGCTGAGTTCCATCTCTTAATCATTCCTCTGAACTTTGTATGCTTGCTTTGTCTAATTGGCTGTCCCATTTATTTTTGAATTTGAATGCTTGTTTTTCATTTTGATACTTCCCCTTGGGTTCTTTTTAAAGACTACTTAGTTATTTATAAATCTCTTGCTCCCTACTCCTTTTCAGAACTTGTCTTTATTCCCTTAAACACATTAAATCTTTATCAAACTCTCTTGCTGGTCTTACTCTTCTGTTATTTTTTCTGACTCTTGGTCATTGAGATACTATATTTATTTGTGGGTAGTGTGAGAGTGTGTGTGTTTGTTGATATTTTGACTATGAGTTCTTGTAAACTTTACCTGTGGGAAGTTTTTGAGGCCTGAATAGAAGGTTGTTCCTCCAAAGACAGATTGTTTGCTTCCATCAGGACTTTGAGTTGGTGCTCCCAACTCAAGGACCACTTTAAATTCTCAGCATAGTTTTTTGGTTGCTTGTTTAACTAAACAAGTAATGTGAACTCCACTGGAAAGTCTGGCATCTGCTTATGAATTTTCAGGAGAGATTTCTTTTTTCTCCTTTCTATGGCTGTCCCTTTTTTTGAGCAGGTTTATTTTTGTTTACCATTATGCTTGCAGATACAGGCATTTGGGGTTCCAGCTTTGTTTTGGAGGACGTCTGATTAGACAATTTAAATTCGTTTCACCTAAATCTAGACTTTGTTTCATGTGTCCTACACTATCTTCAAAAACAGAGTTGAGGGGTCACCAGGTTTGACACCTTCCATGAGGGTGAAGGCAGATGGAGCACATGGCACCTCCCTGGATTTCAGGCCTTCACGTAATCTTGTTCTTCAAAGATTTCTACATTCTTGGGTGAAAGATAGCCTTTAAAAGGTATTTTTTAGGTTTGTTCAGGGTATCATGTCCACCATATTGTCATAAACTGAAGTTACCTTTTTAAAAATTATCTTGGCTCTGTAGGATGTCTTACTGTCTAAAGAAGTGTATTTTCCTATGTTCTTTTAAAAAGTTTTTTTAGTTTGTCCAAAACTTGCAGGAATTGCTTTGAATTTATTGAGTAACTTGGGGGTAACTGATACAGTCAGTTGTTTCGTGAACATGATATGATGCGTATCTGTGTCTCCCAACCCCATGAAAGTCTTGTGTGGTCTTAGAAAGGTATCTTGTTCTGTTATATTTTATAGTTGATTTTCACTGATGTGGAGGAACTCTGGGTTTGTTTTTTATGTTACTCTTGTATCTGAGAACTTTATTGAATTGTCTTAGTAGGTCTAATACCTTGTCAGTTCCATTGCGTTTTCTAGGTAAATATAAATAAAGACAGTTTAGTACTTTCCTTCCAATTCTTAAACCTATCAAATCATTTTCTTAATGAACCAGCCAGTTCTTTCAGTGATATTTTTACACAGTGATGGAGATGGAGATTTTTTTTTTTTAAAGAAACTGCTTCTTTATAGGATGTTTGCTACAGATTTGTGTTAGCTAACAATCGTACGGTCAGCATCTTGTACGGTGTTTGTTCTGTCTAGTGTAGGTGTTCAGTAGATCTTTATTGGAACAAAAGAATGAGACATTTGTCTTCTGAAGATTCAAACTTCTTAGAAACCGGCTGTTTCAATTGCAAGGAGACTGGGTTTTAGTACAGGCATTCCTCCGAGATCTCATAGCCAGTAAGGTTCCAGACTACCACAGTAAAAGTTATGTCAACCCTATACTGTAGTTTATTAAGTGTGCAATAGTATTATGTTTAAAAAAAAAAACCTTACCTTAATTTAAAAATACTTCATTGCTAAAAAAAAAAGTGCTAACCATAGGAGCCTTTAGCAAGTCATAGGAGTAACATCACTGATCACAGATCACCATAACAAATATAATAATGAAGAACTTTGAAATTACCAAAATGTGATACAATGACACGAAGTGAGCAAATGTTGGAAGAATGACACCAGTAGACTCACTCATTGTAGGGTGACCTTCAGTTTGTGACAGGTGCAATAGTGTCTGCAAAGTACAGTAAAACAACATATGCCTGCACTTACGAGTAACTAGAAAGGAGTTGGTAAAACTAGGGCAAAACAGCCTCTCAGATCGGGATGGAGGGAAGCAGAAGTTGTAGTGTAAAAAAAGTCAGAGTGTAGGGAGTGAATTTATTGTTCGGTGTGAAAGATTAAAGTACGTCCTGTGTAATTTCTTTACTTACCATTTATCATAATTGTCCTCTTTGCTCCCTGACGACTAAAGAAGAATGAATGGAAAGGTGGGTTGTGACTACCACATTCCTACGAAAGTCCGAATTGCTTCCTCCTCCTATTTGCTTTTCTGCTAGTTCTAAGGTGATCTTCAATTTCGCCCTAGGTAACCGAAGAGATGATGGATCAGGCAAATGATAAAAAAGTGGCTGCCATTGATGCCCTAAATGAAGGTGAGTGATACATATTATGATCTCTATTCAGTTCCTCTTTTTTTTCCCTTTTTTTAAAGTATGGTTTTCATTATATTTTAATGTGCATTATTGTTTTAAAATTGCATACTGTTCCCGTTTTACAGATTAATGAGTAACCTGAGGGCTAGAGGGGTTTGACTTGTCCAAGATCTCACTGTGCCATACTGTCAACTCATTATTTCTGTCACTTATTTTGGCATATTGTCTCATTTTATAAAAAAAGTTTTAATTTATTTTTTGGGGGGAGTAATCAGGTTTATTTTATTTATTTATTTTTTAATGGAGATTGAACCCACGACCTTGTGCATGCTAAGCATGCACTTCTACCCCTGAGCTATACCCTCCTCCCAGTCTCATATTTTTAAAAATTTACTTACTTATATATTGCCTAAACAACAATTAACAAAATGGAAATGAGGTAGCCTCCACCTAATGGGTCACATTCTTATTTTTTCTTATTTTTTTCCAAGTTTTGTTTATATCTAAATATAGCCCAGTTCTAATTTTAGGAGAAATGCAATTTTATAGTATATCCTAAAGGAATAAAACACTAGTATTCTGAACTAGAGATTGTAGGTTCAGGTCCCACTTTGGGTTGGAGAAGCAGGAATATAGTTAAACCCTGGACTTAATGGAGCCCTAGTTTCTGGATTTGAATCCCAGCTCTGGTACTTACTAGCTAGGTAAACGTAGAGAAGTTACTCTCTTTGCCTCTGTTTTTGTTTCCTCCTTTGTAAAATAAGGATAATAGTACCTATCTAATAGTGTCACAAGGAATAAATGAGTAAACATGTGTAATGTGCCTGGGATAGTACCCAGCACTATTATTAAGATACTGGTAGTGTTCTTATTAAGACCTTAGTATTTTCAGCTGTCACATTATTTGTGGTATTTTTATCATACTTTCTTAGTTTAATATATTTATTTAACAAATATTTATCAAAGGCTTACCATTTTCCAGGCAGTTTTTAGCTGCTAGATCTACAGTGGTAAACAAAACAGACCAAGTTCTTTACCCCATGGACTCATATTACTGGGGAACAAAAATAAGCAAGTTTATAATGTGAAGTTAAATGGTAATTGTGAAGAGAAGTAGAGCTGAGTAAAGGAGTAGTCAGTGATGGAAGCTGTATTTTATGTAGGTGATCAGGAAAGCAGCTCAAGAAGTAAAGGGAGCAAGCCATGTGAAGAAGAGCTTTTGAGACAGAGGGGAGAACAAGTGCAGAGGCTATTTGGGAGAGCGTGGGGGTGATGACATGTCCAAGGGAAAGCAGAAAGGCCAGTGTGTTTGGAGTGTGCTGAGCAAAGGGGGAAGAGAGGTAGAGCTGAGGTCAGAGAAGTGCCTGGCAGTGGGAGATGGCTGCTGGAAAAGTGCTGAGGAGGACAGGTGGTTGACAGCGGTTGGTAGATCACCAAAGAACTTTGTAGATCATGCTGAGTACTTAAGATTTTATCCTTAAGGATGATGAGAAGCCACTGAGGGGTTTTTTGACTAGGAGAGTTACTTTTGAAAAGGATTATTCTTGCTACTTCATGCAGATCAGATTGTAGGGGGCAAATAAGACTATGTTAGTTTATGAGAGATGTAGAAGCCAAGACAACAGTTGATATGCCAGAGGTGAAAATACCTGTGAGGGAAGATGAGCGGAGCATCTGGGAAAACAGACTATCACCTTGGTAACCTTGGTATTACCCCTATGTAGGAGAGATGAAAGGTTTTGTCACGGAAATTGTCAACTGTAGGTATGTTTCTTAAAAGGTCTTGGCAAGCCAAGTTGCCCGTTAGAGGAGTTGCGGGTCTCACAAGAATTGGCCTGCCCCTGTGTCCTTACTGTATTCAGTCATTAGCTGGGAGCAGCTTACGGAGTATAGCCTTGAGCCTAAAAGATGGGGGTTTTTTGTTTGTTTTTTTAAATTTTTTGTGGCGGGGGGGTGGTAATTTGGTTTATTTATTTATTTTTAATGGAGGGACTGGGGAATGAACCCAGGACTTATGCATGCTGAGCATGCACTTCTACCACTGAAGATGGGGTTTTCAACCAGGTGTGCTCACAGCAACAAAGTCTAAGGTGTATTTTCATGGCTCCACGGAGGGAGGGAAGAAATTGAGCTTTATTTTGTCCGGGTGGCTAATGATGGCTTGCAATGGCCAAAGGTTCTCAAACTTCCTCTATTTATAGCGTTCTTGCCATTTTTACTTTTTCATAGCACTCCTAGGCCAAAAGAAATACGTAAGTTTTACTTTCTAATGTAGTTAGTTTCAAACAATTTAATAAGTACCTATGTCCTAACGAGTTAGTGATTGTTTGAAGAAAATAATACACATAAATTGAAAGAAAACATTTAATTTCTAAATAACTGTATTTATTTTCTAGTAAGCTGTGGATATATATTGGGCATTAGACAGCTTCTCAGATCTTAGATTGGAGACTGCCACCCTCATTGCCTACTCCACACCTGTTTTTGTACATTTCTTGTTTTTATCCTAGCAACTACTTAAAAACACAGTTTTTTTCCAAAGATATCATCAAAAGGAATGTAGTGATCTAATGTTGATACTGTGAACTACATCAAGGCAGTAGTTGGTTCAGTGCTGGACAAACTGCCTGTGTCTCTGGTGCACTGTGTGGAAACCTTGGGGCTAGGTGATAAGGTGAGGAGTGATTGGATACACTTTGAAAGTAGAGATGAAAGGATTTAGGTTTCATATTGGGGAATCAAGAATGACCCCAAAGTTTTGGGTTTGAGGTAGATTAGGAGTTCCAAACTACAGTCTGTATTTTTTGTAAAAATTTTAACATAGCCACATCTGTTCATTTACGTCTTGTCTACGGCTACTTTCCCATTAAAATAGCAGAGCTGAATAGTTACGATTGTTACAGTCTGCAAAGGCTACAATAATTACTAAATGATCCTTTCTAGAAAAAGTTTATTGACCTCTAAGCTAGACTGAATGGAGGAGCTATTTATTTAGTTGGGAATGTAGGATTAGGGAACGAATTTGCAGATGGGGTAGGAATTAAAGAGTCCAGTTTTGAACATGGTAGGTGTTACTTGGTAAGAGTTGCTTGTTAGACATCCAAGTGTAAAAACTTCTAGTAGTTATCTGTAGTAGTAACTACTGTAGTAAAAACCATTTTTCTGGGTTGTTTCATGAGTTCTTTTAAGGTCCTTAACACATTAGTTAATTGGGTAAATATATTTTTCATAATGAAATGTGGCATTTACTTAACAATTCTCTCTTGTCTCCCCATGTTTCCTGTGTCCAAGAATTAGACTTTGTGCAAAGAACTGTTCTAATTCTATGCTATCTTTATTTCTTAAATGACTTTACTGAAGGGACTAATAAACACAAGAAGCTAACTATGAGAATGGAATACAATAAATGAATTTAAAATACGGGTTATAGTCTCCCATCTGTTCTAGTTTTCTTGAATTTTTGTATCAGCTCTGAATTTAGTATAGGTATTTTTTCCTTTATAAGTTTATAAGTTTAATTTTATCTTTTTAACTTAATGGATAAAAGAAAATTTAATTAACAGAATAAAATTGATTTATCCTTTAATTTGATCTTAATTAGAAACTCCTACTAAGAATGTGGTATTCTACAAAAAAGAAGAATATGGTATTCTAATATTTTTTAGGGGGTTATATTACTCAAAATTGTCTGTCTTCAGTCATTTACAGTATAGACGTGGTGAAGATTTGCTTTGAAGAGCCAGTTTTGTATATTAATTTAGAATCTAGTCTTTTTACTGGACTAAAAGGGAGATGTGAAAGGCTGATTTGATGAGAGATCCACAGTTTTTATTAATATATTTTATCCTCTATTTCTCAATAAACTTTTTCACTTTAGGTGAACTACAGAAAGCCATTGACTTGTTTACAGATGCCATCAAGCTAAACCCTCGCTTGGCCATTTTATATGCCAAGAGAGCCAGGTGAGAACTCTACTAAACAGAAAAGCTAATTTATGCTGATTTGTTTAAACGATTGCTTCTGTGGCAATCTCAGACATGTTACTGTTTGAAATGAAGATTTTCTAATATCATACTTATTTTTTAGTGTCTTCATCAAATTACAGAAGCCAAATGCTGCCATCCGAGACTGTGACAGAGCTATTGAAATAAATCCTGATTCAGCTCAGCCGTACAAGTGGCGAGGGAAAGCACACAGGTAAATAAAGGAACTTAGTTTTTTTCACAGCTTTTTAAATTTAAATCTGATGTTTTAATATATTTTCTTTTTAAAAAATTGTCTAAGGATTTAATTTTAATGTAAAGCATGCTCAGTATGAAGAATTGAGAGAATATCATAACGAGTATAAAGAAAAGAAAAATTCTTTTCACTCCTTCCATTCAGTGAATTACCACTATTAACAGTTTTTGGCCACATGTAGCCAAATGTAATAAGGATTTTTCTTAGTTCTATCTCCAAGGAAAGAGAGTGGCTTTATATCACTTTTACAAACTTTCTGTTATTTTCAGACTTTGTCTTTGTAACTTAACATTAAACAATACATTATAGAGGAAGGAGTACACTAGCTTCAAAATACTTCAGTAAGGTCACTGGAAAAATCAGATTAGGGGGAAAATACAGAGGTGAATTTAACCCAGATTAGTATTCAAACCTGGAATCAAAACATACAGATGAGTATTTGTGGTTTGGGAATGATATATCCAATGCCATTTACATCTTACATGGATTGAAAAGATACTGTGCTTCAAATGTGAATGGAGATGAAGATGGATACACTTGGGACAGCAATATTAGGTGACTCAAAGTGTAGCTTTATTGATTATGAAGACAGACGTCAACAATATAAGTAAAAGGTTGAAAATTTTTGTTAATGCTCTTTGGATATTCAAAAGCTCTTGTATTACTGTTGATTGTCTTGAGATCCACCCCCCCCCCATTAGTCTTTCAGCATTTCTTTGCCTTCCAGTACAAGAGCTCATCTTGTACTTTGACTTGAAATAAACCATTTCTCCAGGAAACTGGTTTGTTTTAGTGGAGATTATTTTGTAGAAACTGAAGTTTGGTCACTAGATACATTCATTGCTTCCAGGATAGCATTGCTTCTGTCATTTCAATGAACAGAGTCAGAAAAAATTTTTTAAATAATGATTTTAAGAAAAATAGTTTAGAAATTTTGAGTTTATACTGGTAGTTTAAATTAAAATTCAATACTAAAATGTTTTTTCTTGCATTTTGTATTTTCGACAGTATTCTCCTAGAGTCAAAATCTTGGTCCCTAATATATTTACTTATGTACATAACATTGTTTCAGAATCATACCTTAAAAATAATGTACCCTCTAAGTAGAGTTTAATGGGTTTTTTTGCAGTTCTTATCCCTCAGTTAGGAAGTGCAGTCAAAATACTGGTTTAAAAATTACTTGAATTAATTTTTCCCATGTGGTTTACGTTGTCTCTGTGATAAAACAGCCTCTTTTTAGTTCTGTTTGTATTCAGGGTTTAGATTTGCTTTATTCTGTGACTATTCTGATTTAATTTCCTTATTTGGGTATATAAAACATTTGTCTGTTTAAAGAGTCAAAACTTAGTTAAGAGGTGTGCCCTGAGTTGTTTTTTTTTTTGTCAGAATTTTAATGAACTGTTATCTTTTTATCCTTAAAGAGCAGTTGGCACATCTATTTAAAATTTAGAGTGATCCTTGGTTTTTACTTTAATACAAAGAATGACTTCCTGAACCCACTTAACAAATAGTGATCTATAAGAATCTTTTAAATCGATGACAAACATCTTTCCATTCAGATTTTCATTGCACGTTTTATATGCTCATTTCTGTTGTTATCTCCTCTACTCCATTTTTACCAGTCTTTACCAACCTGTAGTTTCTGATCCATCCTGTCTCTCCTTTTGTAATAAAATGTGCACACGTGTATTGTTACTGTTTTCTATCTTATATAGAAGGTGGCATACTGAATACACATCGTGTTAACCCTGTCTTTGATGAGTTGACTCTATGTAATTTTTTAAAATTTCATGATATTCTGAATTAAAACAACTTTTAAAATTTTTAAACTTTTTTTTTTTTTTTTTTTTTTTTTTTTTAGTATAAGAGCAGTTTCACAGTTACCATGGAGGAAATTTAAACTTCTAAATTTTTATAGAGTGGAACATAGTAATTAAGTTGGTTCATGAAAATTTATAGTTCAAAATTTAACTTAAACCTTTTCTGTAACAATCCTTTATTTATAAGGAAGAAAAACACCATCACATAAGTGAATGTATGTAAAAGTTTCCTAAAATTACTTTTAATCTATTTCAGACTTCTGGGCCATTGGGAAGAAGCAGCCCATGATCTTGCCCTTGCCTGTAAACTGGATTATGATGAAGATGCTAGTGCAATGCTCAAAGAAGTTCAACCAAGGGTATGTTAAAGTACAGAAAGGGGAATCATTACTGTAATACTCCATGGCTCTAGTACATATTCCAGTAGTAACTTATCTGTAAAACATGCAAAGAAACAAACATTTGGAAGTTATAATCTGTATCACTTAAATTTGTGCTGAACTTAGGAAATCTCGTTAGGTTTTCATGCTTTCATTTCGCAAGCAGTGTTACAGCAAGCTCTATTACTTCGGAAGCCTGCAGAATTATAATCAGAAAATTAGAAATGGAAAAGGGGGCATCAAGTTTACAGCAAGGAAAGAAATAGAAAATTTATAAACTATGGCCCATGGTTGAGTCTGGTCTGTCCTTACGCGTTGTAGGTGTATACAGCGACTATAAAACACGAGGGCCCTGTGGAAGTTAACAAGTGTCAGCCTTTTAAAAATGATAATTCTGAATCCAAAAGCTAGAATATTTTGTTTTAAGGTAATTTCTATCTAAAATTTGTTAGTTAAAATTACTTTAGTGGTAAATCTTTCAGCTTTGAGGGAAGTTACATTATAAAGAATTTACTCTCAAAGACTTAAGATAGTGGAAATTTTGTTGAATTTAATCTATGAGATGATTTTGATTTTCTTTTCTATTTTTGTAACAGGGCCAACTCAGCAAGATTATTGTGTGAGATATCTTAGAACACATGGTTCTTAAAAATAATCATAAACAAGCTAAAGTAATGGTTAAATATGAATCGCTTACATTTATTTTATTCTGTGAATAAATAATTGATTATAAATGTGGCAGGGACCATGTACTAGTGCCTCGTGCACATATTTTCTCTTGATCCTTGTAGCAGTTCTTTAAGACTAACTTCTCCCTGCCCGCTTATTTTATTGATGAGGAAAACTTAAATATAGTTAAAGTGTGGGAAATATCTGATATGTGTTCCCAGTCTCTGCCTTACTATGGCAGGTATCAGGCAAGATTTATCATGCAATTTGACATTTATTCGTCATCCTTGAACTAGTTAATTAATGGAGATTTTAACACTTCTAACGTCAAACCCCGAGTTAGGTCTTTTTCTGTAAGATAAATCTTAGGTCATTGTTCAGAACTATGTGTTGAATTAAACCTCTCCACAAAGAAAAGTAAATTTTTGCATAAATTTTATCTTTAAATTTTTTAATACAATTTTTAAAGGTTATACTCCATTTACAGTTATTACAAAATATTGGCTATATTCTGTGTGTTGTTCAGGACATCTTTATAGTCTGTGTATTCTGTCTTAACACGCAGTAGTTTGTACCTCCCACTCCCTGACCCCTGCGTTGCTCCCCGCCAACCACTGAAGTCTGTTCTCTGTATCTGTGAGTCTGTCTGTTTCAAGGAAAGTGATTCTTTAACAAAACCATAGATTTGTGTTGACCTTACTCAGCTTTTAGAGAGGACATCTTTCTATGGCTCCTTTTTCCCTAGGCCCAGAAAATTGCTGAACATCGGAGAAAGTATGAGCGAAAACGTGAAGAGCGGGAAATCAAAGAAAGAATAGAAAGAGTTAAGAAGGCTCGGGAAGAACATGAGAGAGCCCAGAGGGTAAAGTTCTATAACTCAGCTACTAAGGAGAAATATAGTAGATTAGAGTTTTTTGGGTACCACTCTAATTCCTGGCCCTTTTATTTAATGCTGGCTGCGGGTCTGTACAGTAATACTACTACTTAAAGGGAATTTTCCTTCCCTCATTGTCTCTTATTTGTGGGAATATTTTTAGTCTTCAGATTAAGTGAATTTATATTTCTCCAATTTATATTCTTGTTTGTGGTTTCCTAAAATCAAGACTTTGCCTAGTCTTAATTCAAAACTTGCCAGTGTTGTTTGTTTACTTTAGGATGTATGCCGTGATATTTTAAGTTTTATGATTCCTTCTGTTTCAGTCGTGGATTCACAGCTATTTCAGATTGACTGTAGTTACTTTTTAGTTTTAGTTGTAAATCATACTATATAAAATTTCAAAGAAAAAATTATCCAAAATTCATCTACAGTATTGTTGCTACTGTTCTCAAGGTTTCTGCTAGTTTTCCTTTTTTCCTGTATTAGCTTCTTGTGTTGACACTATCAGTTTTCATCTACTTATTTCATGACACTATCAGCATTGTTGGAAAAGGATATAAGACTGTATTATAGTTATATAACATTACATCCTAAGTTTTTGTCATTTAATACTTTTAGGCAGTAATCTTAATTTTTTAGGGTTGTCATTCATGGTCCTCAAAAGTAATTTTTACATTTGTATATTTCCTTGATGACTTCATAATTGGTTGAGAGAAATTTGTGTGTATTTCCTTTTGTTTTGTCTTTAAGAAAACAGCAAAAACAAACCTGTAGACCTCCAGTTGCATTTGTTGTTGAGTTATGCAGGGGAGAGTATGGAAACAGTGAGCCTGGGAAACAAAAGCATGGTGGTCTTAGTGCTCTAACCATGTGCTTTCATTTTGGAGTTTTAAAAACAGTAAGAATGTATTTATAATTTTCATAAGCATGGACAGGCATATCAGTACTGTGAATTGCTTTTCAGGTTTTTTTCCCTTCTCCAAGTAGATGTGCAACACTGCGTGAAATCATTACCAAAAGTAGTACTTAATCATTGAGAATCCAATTGAAAGTTGTTTTTGGTGGGGAATGGTGGTATCTCCTTTAGTCCAGTACTGCCATTTGAAACTTGTCATTCTTATAAGTTCTCTAACTAGCTTATTTGACAATTTTTATTTTATAACCAATTCTGGTTTTGCATGGTTAGAGAAGGGGTTGGACAGCAGACTTTTCCCCCTCACAGTACCTAATTTATTTCTTTTTTGTATTAAAGGAGGAAGAAGCCAGACGACAATCAGGAGCTCAGTATGGCTCCTTTCCAGGTATTTTAAAAGAAAAATTAGAGCTCTTAATATTGTAAATAATAGAAGAATATTTTGATTTGGGGACTGAGGTATATATATTATATTTAGTACTATTAGTCCCTGGACCACTGAAGAGTCTTAAAAATGTTAACCTATAGAAAGTTTCATTTTTGTTAAAGATTTTGTTACTGGAAATAAAATATATTATTTTCCTCACTATGAGCAGTATAGTTTTTAAAAAATAGATAACATTTTGAGGCTGAGCATTGTATTTTATTAAAAGACTAAGAATTTGTTATGATGTAAGTGTTAAGTATTAAAGTATTCCTAAATTGCCATAATGGAATTTTGTTCTATTATATACTGATATTATGAGAGTAGTAGGTAAAAGCATGGAATCATTAAGCACAAAAAATGTTTTGAGTTCAGTGTAAAATGAATATATATTCTTCCTTGCAAATGTCAAGTGATCAGAAATTTCTAGTGAGGCAAAGCCTTAAATGATAGCAGAAGCCTTTACATAAACACTAGAAGAGATCTTTTTTAAAGTTTGTAATTCTAATGGAGAATCAGCTTCCCCAAGGTAACTAGATTTCTCTTAAGTAAGGTTTAGAGTCAGCTACACACCACTTACACTTTCTTTTTTTTTTTTTTTTTAACACTTTTTTATTGATTTATAATCATTTTACAATGTTGTGTCAAATTCCACCACTTACACTTTCATGCCCCCGCTTAGAACTTTAGGTACATGTTCAGAGGCTAGATAAGGTAGTCTCTATTCTGAAAGGTCATATGCTGAACAACTGAAAAAAGAAAGAACATAGTTTGGGGATGACTTGGAGAAAAAGCAAGAAAAATACATTTTAGCTCATAGCTTGCTTTCTGTTTAAATTACAAATAATGATTATGTCAGGTATTTTTGTTCTGGCAAATTGGACTAGTAATTGGACTAGTACTAGAGATAATTTTTTTGTTATGTGGATTTTATTACATATATTTGCCAGGCAGACTGGCTTACTATTGTTGCCTTGGGCTGGTGGATTTTTTATGGGTAGAAACTAGTTTTTCAAAGTCAGTAGCAGCAACAGTAGAAGTGAAAAGTTTTCAGGCCTCCTTACATCTCCTTATCTGTGATAGTTATTTATGGGCATTTTTAATTTGGGGGACAGATGGAAATCACTTCTGTTATATGTGTTTCTTTGTTATAATTCCTTTACTTGCAGTGACCCTTGATCTGTAGAATGAATACATTAGTGTTACATATATTTCTCTTTAGGATGTCACTAGATTGGTGTTAATTGTGATTTCAGAATACTTCCAATGGACATAAAGGCTTATGGTAGTGAAAAACTGAGTAGAAAATAGTTTGGGTTTGTAATCTGAAAATATGCTGGGAGAATTAAGTCCTTTTTGCTAGAGCATTGTTCTCAGTGTGAAGAAGAAACACCAGGGGTGCTTGTTAAAAAAGGAAGATTTTCAGTTTCACTTTCAGAAATGTTGATTCATTCTGGAGTGGAGACTAAAAATCTGTATCTTTTTATAACAACCATTTCAGGTAGTTCTTGAAGGAATAATTGCTATAGAGGAGTATAGATTTTTTAAGGGAAAAAAAAAACTAAACTCTTGGGAGTTAACTTTAAATTGAAACAAACCATATTAAAGAATGAGAAGATAGGATAAAATGTGACTTACTAGACTTCTTAATTTTATAATTCCAAGGGACTGTTAGTTTTCTCTGTAAGACTGGTTTTCTTTTTCAAGTTTTATTACTAGGAAAAAATTATACAGCCTTATTTTCTTAAGAGAAAATTTGATTTTAAAAATTATGTTATATCCAGTTACAGTGTTCAGACTACTTTGTGTTTAGTAGCCCCCTTGTTCTTTGTGCATACATGCGTGAGAGAGTATGTTATTTTAATCAGAAGGAAATAATACACTCTCAGACTACTTGGGAATATAGTTGGTGTCTATACAGATCTTTCATTTATTCTTACAGGTGGTTTTTCTGGGGGAATGCCTGGTAATTTTCCTGGAGGAATGCCTGGAATGGGAGGGGGCATGCCTGGGATGGCAGGAATGCCTGGGCTCAATGAAATTCTTAGTGATCCAGAGGTTCTTGCAGCCATGCAGGTAAGACTTGGAAAAACAAAGTTGAACTTTAAATCACTAAGGCGTTTCTTTCATGATTCTGTATGGAGATAGGGTACTCTGTTAGTCCTGTTTTATTGATCTGAATTACCAAGTAGCTAATTATGCAATTGTGACATTCACTTTTTTTTCAGAATGAGCAGCTTAAGTCTTTAAAAAGTGGTTTGTAGGGAATACTCTGTAGTAGTTGGTAATTATATCCAGTTGTCCTTTGTATCAAAATTATGTCCTCTTTTTCATTGTCTAAAGTGACATAATTGAGTTTGACTTTGAAGTGCACATTAATATTTACACTTTGGTGACCTGTCCAAACCTGAGTTAACTTGGCCATAACAAAATTATAGGTCTAAATGAAGAGATAGGATTTAGGTTAATAAACTTGTTGACCCATAGAACATTTTTTTTTTATTACTAAAAAGTTTATGTATACCTTTCTTTGCAGGATCCAGAAGTTATGGTGGCCTTCCAGGATGTGGCCCAGAACCCAGCCAATATGTCAAAATATCAGAGCAACCCAAAGGTTATGAATCTCATCAGTAAATTGTCAGCCAAATTTGGAGGTCAAGCATAATGCCCTTCTGACAAATAACAGCCCTCGCTGAAGGAAAAGCTACTTTAGATCACCTAATGGATGTCGCAATAATACAAACCAGTGTACCTCTGACCTTCTCGTGAAGGAAGCTGGGGTGCTTTGAAGATAATCCCTACCCCTCTGCCCCAAATGCAGCTGAAGCATTTTACAGTGGTTTGCCATTAGGATACTCATTCAGATAATGTTTTCCTACTAGGAATTAAAAACTTTAAACAATTTTTAAACCTTAAAAATATTTAAAACAAATTAAAAGGTTGTGTTAATCCCTACATTTTTCTTTAGTAATCATTTTGGTTTTTTCTTTGAATTAATTAGGCAAGGAAGATACATCAGTATGGAAGATGTATTGTTCAAGTTTGAGTGAAACAAAGATTTATTACTGGGAGGCAAATATAACATTTAAATAGATAAAGTTTGAGTTGGATATATGGTAACAGGCATTTTGGTTTGTCTTTTTATTTGGTTTGCTTTATTACTATTATTATTATTATTATTTTATGATTTGCTTCCATAAAACTATTGGGACCACCAGTATTGCAGTAGGATCTGGGTAGGGACTGGAAGTACTTGGCAGGGCAGCAGCAATCTTACTACATTTT